CGCAGAATTTAGCAACGGAAGATGCTGACCCGGAACTGTGATCTTCAGCCCCCAACAAGCTGCGTGTGCTCCCTTGTAACTAAGGTGCCCACTGCCCCTTGGCCAGTGGTCTGCTGCTTCAAATAGAACTTCAGACAATCTCTTGGGACATATTCTCTGCTCTCCCCTGACCACTGTAGCTGTCAGGAGGAAGCTTTTTTGAATACCAGAGGCTCTCTATCACAACATAAGCAGTTACTGTAGGAGTTCAAACTGGCCTGGACCAACAGTTCAGTGGAAACCATCAGGTTGGGCAGAGTCTGCCCTTCAGTGACCTTGCACAGAGACTCGGGGTAGTGCATTGGAAGAGCAGCCAAGGGGAGGACTGTGGTGTGCTGACAGAGCCACACACAAAGCCGCAATGCAAAACCCCAGAAACTTAATAATCACTGATCCTCTCTGCCCCAGAACCCTCTATTCAGCCCATTCGTACCACTTCCAAAACACCATGTTTTTCATTCTTTCTCCATTTCACTGATGCTCAGAACTTTTCATCCATTTAGCTCTCCCCAGATCACTCCATCGCTGCCTTCTGAGCCTATGAAGTACCCACTGGCCATATCCTTGACTGTTCCTGCAAATTCCACCTTCTCTTACTCTCATGCTCAGCCAATGCAGCTGTCCTTTCAGCTCATGGCCCCTGGGATCCACCAGCACTCAGTGTGCTCTGTAAATACAGCAGCTTACCAGGTAACTGGCAAAATTGATCAGGAATTACAGAGCCAACAATAACCCTCACTGTGCTGTAGTCTCAGCTCTGTTGGGAGCAATATCATGATTGGTGCATATTTTCATGCAGCTCAAGAGCTGGATGTTATATGGCTGCGAATATCTCCCCCCTGATGGACAGACATCATTCCCCAGAAGGATGTGGGGACAATGGCATATGCCCACTTCCCCCTCAGTTGTTCACAGAGCCTGGACTTCCATCCTGTTCAAATGCAAAGCTGCTGGCACATGCCAGAAGGGTAAGAAGTCCTTCTAGAGGTTTAACATTGTAGAGAGAGGTCTAATCATCAGCTCTGCTTCCTTGAGGAGCTTCCCAGCAGGCAGGAAGGGGTTTTGCCTTGAGGGCACAGAACTAGTGACTGTCTCCCAGCAGCCTTCCTCACCTGCAGGTCAGGTTTGAGTTGTCTGTGTAACATAGCCAGGCTTTTATTTCAATCAGCTGTCTCATTCACACACACTATCTGCTTTAAAATATCAAGCCACTGTTCCTACAGACAGAGAATCACACATCTCATACCAGTCTTCCAAGCCCTGTTCTAGGAGCTATGCATCCAAAGGAAACAGAGAGAAGGCGGAAAGGGACTTCTGAAGATGGTGTAATAGTCTATGTGGGAAGAATAGCTGGGAGAGAGATTACAACCTCAGCTAACAAGCCCCTGTAGAGTGCTGAGGAGGAAAATCCAAGGGCAATGTAGTGAGGAGAAAGGCATCTGGGGGAGTGCAACTCAGCAGTGCAGAACTGGTGGACAAGAAAGGAACAACAAAGAAAGTTCTCAACAGAAGGATAAAGCTGATTGCTGAGTGGGGGAGGAATGCCAGTATTTCTTGCCCCAACAGGAAACAGCCCTTTGTAGCTGCATGCTGGAAAGAAACACACAAGCAGAGTAAAGCCCTCTATACCCTGATGGAGAAAGGAGCAAAGGGAAGCCCTTCAGTGTGAGCTTGGTTGTCCTGTCTTCCCTCCCACCTCATGAAAAAGAATAGTCTGCACCCAGCAGAAGCTCTTGGCTACTACAGAAAAGGAAACAGTTCTCTGCAGATAGCACGTACTGAATTCCACCAATAGTCTCACATTTCCCATCTCATGAAGCTTCCCTGCCATACAGAACTCAGTCACTGTTGCTCATTTCCCCAGCTGACATGGACAGAAAATTGAGCTATTACCTTTAAACTCCACTCTCTCAGATTGCCCAGATTGCTACATACAAAGCATTAAGGCCCCAATTGCCCCTGGCCAAAAGTGACTCAACTAGGCCCGTCCTTTAGGAATTAAACACTCTATGTTGCTTGCAGAGGTTTATTATTCCTCGAGTTGTGATGCATTAAATCCTGCTAAAGCAGGTTTCCCACCATGCAGAGGACCTGGCCCCCCATGACAAAGTCTAGTGGGACACATACCCACCTAACAAAGGTGCGCTATCCATTTGCTGTGCCTGTGTAGTAGTACGTACCAGCATGTGTTCAGGAGGATGGGCACTAAGTTCACAGGGGTGCTGTAGGAAATCAACCTAGCGAGTAACTAGACACTCCAGAGTTATTTTGGAGAGACACTGCTCTTTTTCAAAGCAGTCTTTCCAACTTGGGAGTTTTACAGGAGCAAATGCTGCTTTTAGTCAAACACGAGTCTTTGCTTTCCTACAACCCAATACTGGCACCTCTTTAAAGAGGCTCTCTTGTTTCGGAATAGCCTTTAATGAAAGAGAAATATAAAACCGAGAAAATTAATTCTGAGCATGACCTGAGCCAAGGTACTTCACTGCTAGTATCTCAGTGGTTTGTATTGTGCAGTGGATGCACAATGGATGGCTTGCACCTTCTGGGTTTCCCTGTGCAACTGTAATGAAGGGCTGAGACTTCAGATTGTTCCATGCATGTCCCTGTCTGGCCTACCCATCTACAATCTCCCATATTATTTCAGTCTTTCCACACAGCCTGAGAAGTGTTTGTCCTCTCCCAAACTCCCACAGAGGTGAGGAATCAGATGGTATTTCATACACAGGCCAGGAGCAGTGAAAGAATTCTACTTTTATTTCTGAAACTACAAGGCATATCAAGCCCAAAAGGCTCCACTTGGCTGTACAACCTTCCCTCTATTTTCCACATGCCAAACTGTGCTCTCCCTAGGCCCTATGCTTTTTTAACACTTTCTCAAATGGACTCCAAATTCTGAGCCTCTGGGGGTTAGTGATGCATAAGCGATCACCACTGAGCACATTTCAAATTCACAAGAACACTTTTTTAAGGGCATATAGTTTTGTCCTTCATTCTTCTAATGAAAAGGTTGGATGGGGGACGAACAATGTTAATGGAATGGTACAGCTCAGCTTTCTAATAGGTTAAAGGAAGGCGATCCAAATGTATTGGTTGACAGCAGCAATCATTACACAACTGCGCCTGTTCATATTAAGGTGTACAAGCTAACACATTATGCAGCACAAAATAACCGTGACCCATCCTTGGGGATCCACACACCAATGTCTTGATTTTTGTATGTTTAGAATCTAAGCTTTACTGTTACAGTTAAGGACACAAACTCAAGTGCAATTCTATGCAAAACAGAGGCTGATACAGCTCAATTTACTGCACAGACACAACCAGTGCATTTCTACTCTCTGCCTTCTTCACTAGGTAGTTAGTTGTATCTCTCTGCTTATTAAAAAAAAGTAATTTTATTCAGGTTCTGCAGTTTATTTATTTGTCACTTCTCTTCACTGCTCTCTTCACTGCAATTGCTGAGCCCACATGGAAAACTACTCTCCAGGACAGCTTGCTTAATCTCCCTGTAGAAATAGGACCACAAGCCTACAGTGCACAGATCCATTTAGGGATTTTCCATATGCAAGTCAGACCCACAACCCAGCATATATCACTGTACCAGAAACTGTCTAGGTAGGAACCATATCAGATTAGTAGGCTCTTTCTTCTAACACACAGATTTAATCCAAAGCTGAACTCTAGTTTGCAAACAATCCAAATTCGACTGTTAACCATAGGTTAGGCACAGATAAATAACTGAAGCATATTAGGATTCAACACGTCTTCAGACCACACTGTGCGTCAATTCTATTCTATCTTTATTACCCAAGGTCTTGGAGTGCTGAAAGTCACATGCTGCAAACAAACATTTGGCAAGCATTTTTATGCCTGGTTAGCAAAGACAGTTTTTATACTACGAGAACATGACCACAGTTCAACAAAAAGGACAGCACATATGCAAACAAAGAGCTGTTCAGAATAGACTATCAGCCTCAGTGACATACGCTGAAATTTAAGAAGCCCAAGAAAATTCTCATGGGGAAAATTTAGTCTGTTCTGAAGATGCCAATGCTATAAAGGTGCCACTTCTGGCAATCATCTGTTGCAATGCTTAATCTGTCTGGAAGACCCAAATAAGTCTTCATTTAATCTCATTAACCATACTGATGTCTGATCCTTTGTGACTCCAGGTAATTCTTCTGATGCTTGATGATATTTTATAGATGCAACTTTTTATACACTGTATAAGATTCCTAGTCCTTGAAAATTGAGGTAGCTCCCAGAGACTTCAATGAATTCTATGCTTGCAACAGTTATATAGTGCTTGTCTTGAAAATCATACTGTGGATTTTTCCTGAGATTTTTCTTGACTCATCCAGTCCTAGAAGAGCAGGTGATATACACTATAAAGAAAACTAGTGCTAAGTCAGGAATCCAGTAGATTTCACAGCAGCCTGTACAGGGATGGATTGGGATTACCCACCGGTTCTTATGTTTAGTTTATGATCTATGATCTTGGGTTAGAGTAAACAGATTTTTTAAATTAAAAATTCCATTATGACAGAAATCCCAAGAGAGTGGTGCAGGCACTTGTTTTGTTGGGAACAAGACAAGGATGTTGCATAAAACAGGAGAGAGGCTTTATGCAGAGCATACTATCACCTAACTCGGGACAGCAGTGAATTCTTTGCCCGCTCTTAACCTTTTATTGCACTTTTAGCTCTCTTTTTGCCCCAGTCCACTATTTTCCTTGTGGAGGTAATCAGAGAGAGAAGTGTCCTCGACACTTTCCTTCTTTCCAAGGGCCTTTTATAATTGAATGGGGAAATGGGGAGACCTAAGCAACTCCCACATTTGTTTACCCTCAGAGTGGTTCATTTCTTCACAATTTCTTACAAGATGCCTCTGCTACTTTAGCGGAGAGCCCCCAGACATGCATGAAAGCACTTCTTGTAGTCAAGTATGTGATACCTTACCTCCTCCATCATCTGATGCCTCCAGGCTCTGCTGTCTGAGACGATGGCTGCAGCAAAACACATAGAAGACTTTCAATTGGAAACCCAGAAAAGCATCTTTTTGTGTCCCCTTCCTTCCCACCAAGCCTCATGACCTGTCAAGGGGAGAGTTCCCAGAGATGCTTAAACAGCAGACTGACCTTCCACACCCCTCATTGCTGGACTCAGCAGAAATCTCAGCTTAAGCAACATGCCTTGTACCTAAGAGAAACCTCTAGGCTGCAGTCAGTAGGGCCTGCAGTGGGTTTGGGAGGAAAGCAGTTTCTTTCTAATTTTCTTTCTTTCTGTTATATGGGAGTGACAGAGACATCACCTACTCCACATCCAGGGAACTACAGAATGACCAGCGCTGCCCCATCCTAGGACACATGGCATGAATTCATGACATGCTCTGAACACTTCCAAATTCTGGTCTTCATATTCTGGTGCTTAGTGGCACATGCCCCTTCTCTGTTAGATCAAATAGGAAAGTTGTGGAAGAAGTCTCAGCAACAATGGGAACTTACTCTTCTACTTCTTCTGCATGCTTTCTTCCTGACCTGCAAGACAAAAAAGGTCTGTGCTTAGAAAAGGCTAGAGAAAATTAAAAAACTGCATCTTTCCCTACATAATTTCCCTGTTATTGTGCAAAACAGTTTCCTGCACCAGGTCCAATGTAACACAGTGAGTGACCACTAAACCAGTGTATCAAAAAGTCCCTGAGTACAATAGATTGATGAAGAACCATTTGGATCCTAAAAGACAGCCATGACCAAATACAGCAAGAATCACACTCCCTGCTTTTTTCGCTTCTCAGATACTTTTTCACCCCCTCTGCCATCCGTTGCAGGTAAAGCTTGCCTTACCTGAGTAGAGATTGATGCTTTAAGGAGTGGAAAAAGTGCTATACTTTGTCTACCTACAAGGTAGGTTCTTCCTCCCCCTGGTTATACATAAAGATTTTCTGGTTGCCTTTTAGGTTAGGAGTCCCACTTGAGTTGACCAAGTTCAGATCAGACATGCAGTCACTGCAAAAAATCAGGGCTTATCTGGCTGAGTTAACAGCAGTTCATAATAATAACATGGCGGGTGGGGAGGCACTGGCAATGGCAGCTCCCTTGCTCTCCACCCCGGCAAGCCCAGAAGTAATTCAGTCCTGATTAGGAACGCTTGTTCAATATTCAAAATGTAAAACATGGAGGTTGCTGAACCAGCACTTTGAAAAGTTAATTAAATGCCAGATTTCTTTTTAGCAGATACTCCATCACTCACTGATTGCTTTGGCCATTTTGGAGAGTGAAGTTTCATCTCTATGTGTTGGGAATAAATATTCTCCCCTCTGCTGAAGTCAGGGTGCTAGGATAAAGAATAAATGGGGCTCTCCCTACCACATGCACTGTTCCAGGGCACACCAAGATGTAAGAGAAGTTGCTTCACTGCCTTGCACTCTTCCTTTCGAAGCAATTCTGTAACATGGGACAGGTCTCTCCTCATCTCCTCTCTGCTCTAGCAAGTCACGATCTTCATCGGCTCTCCTATGAATAATCTATTCTTCTAAGAGCAAGGAGCAGGACACAGAGGATGTCTAGCTATAAGAAGAAATGGTAAAAGGAGAAGAAAGTCCTTTGTCTCCACTGCTCTCCCTGGAGCTTGCAGTCTGTAAGAAGTTAAAACTTACACTCAGATAGGTGATCTGAGCCCAGTAATATCCACCACTATAATCAGAACTGTAGGACTGCGGGTGACATCTGCACTTGGGCTTTCAGCTGTATCTGCACCCTCTGTTCAGAGACAGAAATGCAATAGAGCTGGGTAGTTTAGGAAAGAGCTCTTCCAGAGAGGATGAAACTGTTCAGCTCCATCTTTCTCCTCAGTGGTAGTACAAAGCACTTTTTGTGAACCTCCGACACTATGGAGAAAGAAGGAGATGGCTTCAGAGAGTCCACCACCAGCTCTCACCGGAGTTTAGACTCTGAAAGGACAGAGGTGGAAAGATGATGCAAGATTCTCCTATTTTATCCCTTCCTTATGCCTTCACAGAACTGATTCCCACACACTGCCTTGCCCTCAGTGAGCTGAAACATCCCAAGTTATGGCATTGCACAGCCTTGCACAGTGTGATGATTTCCTGGGGGTTAAATCCAACCTTTTCTTAGTGTGATTCCATTATTCTTGATAATTGTCTTTACTCATCTCCTGTCTCCAGGCAGGAGTGAAACACACCACATGTTTATACTTCCCAGGAGAAGGTCACTCCTGCTATCCCTGTAAGCAATTTCTGTTTCTTTTTCCTAAGCTCCCTGTCATAACAGATATCCAGGTGGCCCACAGGGAAGGCAGTCATATGTTAGTCCTAGAGGCAGAGACTACTTCGCTCATGTTTTGAGACTTAAGCTTTCTCAACTTTTCCTTGTGTTAGGAAAGGACTTAGGACAATAAACAAATACCTAATTATGAAACAGCTGCACTATATTGGAAAAAAATAGTAATTTGGGGAACAAATTAATCAGCTGGGAGGGGGGAACAGTAGTGACTCCTTTAATCCCAGAGCCCAGATGTTAGAACACTCTCCTGTCAAACAAGACCATTCCTTTTCTCTCTAGGGCAAGTAAAAGCCTCATGGTCAGCCCGCCCAGGAGAACATCTTCGTCCCTTTGCCACAGAGCCTGACGGTGGCAGTGGGTGATGCAAGTCTCTCATGCTGACAGTCCTGTGGTTTATACAGAGCATTTAAATACCAATTACACTAGAGCAAGAATGAGAAAATACTTCTTCTGTTTAGGGTAGACATCTGCTTCCAGCCACCTGTACTAAATATGTTTGTTAATATATGAATTGGAATAGCATTATTTGATGAAACTGGCATTCCAAACTAGCTGATAAGTTCACAAGTAGAAAACTATCCCAGAAATACAGTATGAAGCTTCTGGAGCACAGGAAGAAATTGCAGGTTTTATACTCCCTATGGCCTTAATGATTGAGCTATTGAGCAAAAAAGATACCAGGCAGCCTACTACTTCCCTAATTTTTTATAAGGCTTCTTTTCATTTTGCTTGATGCCAAGTAACTTTTTAATTCCTTGTTTTGGATTGGGGAAGAAAAAAATCACAAAACATTTTTCATTTGTTCCTGACTAGTCTTTTGCTTTTTCGGCCAAATTGCAATACCTAAATTTACCTAACAAAGCGACTCTGAGAGAAAAGACAAGCTTTGTCTTGTGTCCTAAGGTTAAAAACCTTGAAGGCAATAAAAGAAATCATTCAGTCTTCAAAAGGTGCCTCTATTCCAACTACGTCCATTCCATAAACTTAGCTGAGGGCTAAGCTATACATGGAGATAGTATTCCTGCAGAACCAGTCACCTGCTTGTCTCTTTACTCTCCAGGCACTACGTGAAGCCTCACAGGATTTCTTCATGAAGTCATCGCATTGCTTTAAGCATTGTGAGCACCTCTTCCTGACAACACTTTCAGCTCACCAATGCCAATTGCAACACATTGAGACTAACATTTCATCCTTCAGGAATATCAGGCCTGGGTACACAGCACCCTCTTCATTCACCTCGTGGTCACAGCTTTCTAGTGATGAGTGAAAGCAGATACGGAATGAACCCAACTGTAAACTCAAGCCAGCATATACAGATTTCCTATTCTTTTCTCATATTCTCAGCAACACGAAGTGCGCTGCCCTCCTTTGTCTGCTGCAGCAGCAGGCACAGCGCAGGGAGGGCAGCAACAAGCACCTACAAAATGAGCAATTGAATATGAACTACACATACACTCACTCAAGTAAGGACAAACAAAACAGTATAATCCTGGGAGCAGTGCTCAGAAATGCATTCAGTCAGTATTATATACCAGCCATCCCCAGCTTTTGTGAGGCAGCGATACCATTCATTTCTTCTCATAAGTGCATTTTTCTGAAGTGCCAAAGAACATGGACCAACTTTATCACCTGGACAGATCCGTTTAACCTCCCTTTCCCTGTGAGACTGTCAGTGCTCCCAAACATAACCATAATCCAAGAATATTCCCTACAGTTTCAGCCAACTGCTTACCCCCTCTCTATTTCAGGGTGTTGAATAGTTTGGAAACTGGGAGGAAGACCCTGAAAGACCCCCTTGTAACTCCACGGTATGTAACTCCTAGTGCAGAATACCTGTTTCTCTCTTAACTATGTCTGGAGGTAGAAGATACAGATCTGCTCTCACTCTTGAGTGTGGTCTTTGCTCAGTTCTGGGCAGGAGGAGTCCTTCCTCCACATTAATTGGAAGGGGTTAAACCTCAAAACCAAGGCTTTACCCCCCCCCCCCCAACCCACCCCTAATGTATAGCTGAGCTGCTTTGGAGCTACCTGCAACTTCAGTGCTGAAGGGTGAAAGGCAGTTCTAATGTAGACATAATCTCTGTTAAACTGTTTCTTTCTCATTTAATGGACTACCACGGAGATCTAAATGGAGATAAAGTAGCAGGGCTCAGAGAACAGCCAGGATGCTATCTTTATGCAGTATGACAATGTGCAGTGGTTAATTAGACACCGTTAACCTATTTTAGCAGAGGACATAACTGGGATGAACGGGGCAGAAGTGTCCTTGAAATCTTTTAATGTCCACAGCTCATGAGAGCTTCAGACACGCTTGAGTCCTACACCGAGCCACCGCCAGGCTTCTAGGAGGTCACTGCGCTGGATCCGAGGCTCTCTGCCGCGGCCCAGGAGGTGCGAGGGCGGGCAGCGCAGCTAAGGAGAAGGGAAGCACTTATGACAGCTTGTTAAAACGAACATGGGGGCGGCTGGACAGGGACGCTCAGTACAGCGCGGCGGAGCAGCAGACAGAGCGGGAGCTAGGGCAGCCCCCGGCCGTCCCGGCGCTCCCTCCCGGCCTGGCGCACCCCGCCCCGCCCCGCCCCGCCCCGCCCCGCGGCCGAGCAGCAGCCGCCGCCGCCGCCGCCGAGCCCGCGCTCCCAGGGCCCGCTGCCGGCCCGCGACCGCCCTCTGCCGGGCACCGCGCGGGGGTCCGGCCCGCCCGCCCCAGCGCCGAGGGAGCCTGGGTGTCATCGACTGACAGAGAGCCGTCACAGCCGCCACCTGAGGGCTGTCCCGGGCCGGGCCGGACGCCCGCAGGGGCCCCGAGTCCATACCCAGGGGCATTTCCGTCATTTTACAGGGCAGCGCGGGGAGAAATTCATCTGTCCGTGTGTGTGTTAGTGTATTCCCTGGCATGTCTCAACCAACTTCTCTAATGAATCACGTGGAATCAGAAGGCCTCTCCAAGCGGCCCTCTTGCTAAAAGAATGAAATGGGGGGCAGGGAGAAGAGAACATCGTGGTGTTCAGAGATACATTTTGTTTGGAGAGAGCAGGGCGATCAAAGGGCGGGCAGAGATGGGCTGGGTGCACGGAAAGCGAGCCACCAGCAAGCGTTCTGCTTCATGCTTCCATCCAAAACCATACCCAGTTCAATGCTTGACTCAGCCTGCAGGGACCCACGAAGCCTTTTGCCTCTAGCGCAAAGACTGTAATTCAGACCTAGGCCTGAGGGAGGACGGGAAAAAAAGATTACAA